GAACATAACATTTTACAAATGATTACATTGTAGCGGTATTTAATAATGATCTAGTCTTTAAAATCAAGCAATCAAACAACATATATATTTAATTACAACAATTTTAAAAGAAAATACTAACCATTTTGCAAAGATGTAAGAGAAGTTGATCCTCTAGTTACAGTGTTCAAATTTAGCATTAACAACCGATTAAACCGTAAATTGCCTTGAGTTAAGGTTTTATTAACAACACATGAACCTAAAATGTGTAAACTGAAAAAATTATAAAACTAAAATGAATGACATGAATGGAAAAAATCATTAAAAAAAATCAATTTTTTCTATTTTATTAGATGTACCGTTTATGTTGTTTTTGAATGGTTGACAAATAATATTTTGATTAACATTCGGCACTTCCCCTAATGACCGTTGGCATGTTCAAGAATTTTTATATTAGCTAGTACTATTAAATTTGTAACAACATTTAATTATACAAATGATTACATTGTAGCGGTATTTAACAATGATATAGTCTTAAAAATCAAGCAATCAAGATATATATAATCCCTAAAATTTTAAAATAATATACTAATCATCCTGCCAATGGTTACATTTTAAAAATAAATGATTAATTACAACTTACAAATTATTAAAATATAACATTTGACAAAGGATTACATTGTATGAGTATTTAACAATGATATAGTCTTACAAATCTAAAAAAGATTTAACATAATATATAAAATGTTTAACGAACAATTGAAATAATAAATTAATAACAATACGCCAATACCATTAGTCATGGTGCTAGATGGGGTTTCCATATTGTTACGAAGAGGCCTAAGTACACGCCTCTTATTCGTTGTTAAAGTGTTGTTGCATGTCAAAATGGACTTTGAAGTGCTTGGCAAATGATTGTTTTGATTACCTGAACAAAATAGCAAGAAAAAGCAATACTTCAATCTTACGCTAAAACTAAATTTCATTCTCCAAAAACACACTGAAAAGAAAAATTATTTACCATTCATTTGATTGCTTGACGGGGTGTTGAATTCTTGTAATGGTATTGAAGTGTCATGATCTCTAAAGTTGATATGATTCTCTTTATCAAAATGGATTTCTAGATTGGTAGATTGATTTTGTCCAACTTCATCTTCTGCCATATCAAATACGCAATTAACACTTAGTTTAGCTAAATATATCAATATATATATTATAATTGGAACTCTAAGTTAAGAAACATTCGATGAATACATCAATTTCTTTAGTACCAATTCAACATATTATGATTTATGCAAAAAATGACATTGTAAGCAGTTAAATGTTATAAAAACTAAATAAATAATTATTTAGTTATTGATCAAAGTGTAAACCCTATGTGATATACTAAATAAATAATTATTCTGTATTTTTATTAATCAAAGTCTTCTCTGTACCAATATATAAATTAAAAAAAAAAAAAAAAAAAAAAACAATATGCCAACCTCGGCATACACGTGTAATGTACCCATGATCCATTTAGCTAGGTAAGACTTCCTTTCTCAGAAATGAAGAAGAAATGTCGAGAAGAAGCATTCTAGACATTTCCGATCTTCTAGCTATCTGTGTTACCATGGACCTATCTAGACAAAGCACTGAATCCTTCTATATTTCTTCATCCTACTTCACTGACTGCACCTTACCTCTCTGTTCTACTGTTGTCAATTTCTATTTCTACGCATCAAGATTACATAGAGTATTAAGTTGTAATGTTTTCACAATCCAGATCTGGAAACGTAGAATGAGTATTTGGTTTTATTTTCCTTTGAGTTCTGTTCTACCAAACAGTTGTAATGCTTCTCTTCCTAGATCTAGAGCTGTTCATGGCCCAAAAGTTTTTGTTTTGAGATGGTATAAATTTTCGATCATCTCTAATAGTTTTCTACGGATCTACAGTGCTCTGTTGCTAGATCTGGATTTTAAGACAGCCGATCTCAAAGAAGGATATACAGATTTGCTTAAACAGGTAGTTTTAATTATATATATACAAATTGTTCTTATACAAACCATATGTTTTTGTTTTACTCTATAAATTCATCGCCGGGTTATAAACAAACTGTAATCTGATTTTCATTGTTGTCTTCCCTAAAATGTCGCAGCCAGAAGATTTACTCTGAATTTCTACGAAGAGAAGAATGCAGATAAAGCCTTATAGGTAACCAAATGTTTATTACCTGGTTGAGTTGTTATGTTCTTCCTTTTGTCGCAGATGACTGTGGATGCACTGATCTTCCTCATTGCGTGAGCAGTAGTATTCCTTTGTGTGTAATCTGGTAGGCTATGTGCAGAGCATGCTTGAATAAGTTTTTTTCTGTCAGTACATTAGACTGCAATTACTTGATTTTTGAGTTGATATAGAGCAGGATTTGATTCCCATTAATGATTAGTCTTATTGGGAATAAGAAAAGTCTTTTACTATTCCACCATTGCCATTAATTTGACTTAAATATTTATTTCATACTAACCATTTACTTGCAGAAAATGGTATATGATGAACTTTGTTTCTAATGCCCATGTTGAATGTATCTCGATTGCTATACTTGAATGTAGTTATGTATCTAATACATATAAGTTGTTTGCAAAATAAATTGCAGATGATTAATTATGATGTAGATGGTAGTGTATGTAGCTTTATGTTAGTTTAATATTACTGCTTATAGGATTACTGCTTTGCAATAAATTACTTTGTTTAGCGATTAGTGAATTTATCTTAACTTTTTATTCACTACTAACCTTTATTTTTCAGGATTTGACAGGTGATGAAAGTACATTCTGATGCCACAATTTATTCCAACGTGATCAAACAATACCTATACATTCTGCTACACTCATTATAGACACAATAAGAGTTTAAATTTAGTGTTTTATGGTCCACTATTTTAATGCAGTACTCACTATTTGCTTATTTGGTTTAAAATCTCTTGTTCTTGGTTAACTGAATTAATAGTTGCTTATTTGGTTTAGTGTCTGTTTACAAAGTTAAAAAACCTCTGTGAATGTTGCATTATATTCCAGTCAGAGGTAAATGAAGACATAGGCTGCCAAGGGTATTTATTTTCACTAAAGTATTCTTACATTTATAATTAGCATTAATGCAGTATTTTTTAACATTCACAATTTTTCAATATCATTATATTTTTAAAACCTGATTTGGCTATATATATGTATCTATGTTCTAAAACTGAATTAATACTTGCTTATTTGGTTTACTGTCTGTTTAAAAAGTTAAATAACTTCTGTGAATGTTGTATTAATTCCAGTCATAGCTAAATGAAGACATAAGCTACCCAGGGAATTTATTTGCACTAAATTAATCTTAAATTGTAAGTTTACATGAATGCATTAATTGTAGCTCCATTATTTTAGTTTAGGTAATGTTTTTGACTTAAGTCTGGAAATTCCTTATATTAGATTCAGTGAAGTTGATGTAGCTCAATTCTTGTTATATGAAGATAAAGTCCCATTGATAGGTAATTTTATGCCATCCATTATTATTATTATTTTTCATATAGTTTAATTGAAGTAATTTAATCCATTTATAATAAGACTGTTCTATTTGTTTTAATGTCAGGAAAGTGCAAGCTTAAAACTATATAACACACATAAAGTGTTGTGAAATCAAGACTTAACTTTGAAAGGGATGAACCATTTGATGGTGAAAACAAAGGATTTACCTTTATGTGTGTTATATAGTTTTCTGAAGACAAAGTCCCATTGATAGGTAATTTTCTGCCAATCCTTTTTTTTTTTTTTTTTTTTTTTTTTTGCATATAGTTTAAATGAAGTAAGAAAATCCATTTGTAATAAGAATGTTCAATTTGTTTGAATGTAGGAAAGTGCAATCTTAAAACTATATAACACACATAAAGTGTTGTGAAATCAAGACTTCACTTTGAAAGGGATGAACCATTTGATGGTGAAACCAAAGGATAGAGCTTTTACAGGTAAAAATCCTTATATATTGCTATTTACACATTATATAGCATTGTAGATTACATAGAAAGGTAGTACAAATTGATGCTCTAAATCTATTTTCAATTCTAAATGTAGTACATAGAATTGTCCTTAAAGCTTCTTGGTGATCTTCAGTCTTCAATGTGCAATGTGTCATGAGCATTTATACAACCTGCATTAGAAAATAGATAGCAAACATAGAATAATAGACAATAAAATAAACATAGTTTAATATAGTTAGTCAAAACCACTAAGATATCACATGAATGTTGAAAGGCCATCCACCTTAAAGTTTAATAATGTCCATTGCAATGTTAACCAAAAAAAAAACAAAAGTCCTTGTCCCAAAAGAGCATAAAAACTGCGCAATGTCACCAAAACAGATAAAGTTGCAGAACCCTTAGTCAAACCGCATTACAACAACAAACTGATTGAGTTCATTTTTTTTCCTGCTTAATATCAATTGGTTTTGATTTTTTTGCATCTTGAGTTGATGAGAACTGGTCCATCAGATTTCTCTTGGTTGAACCTGGAGATATGTGTTCATCATTATCTGCCATCATAGGTTTCTGACTTTGCTGTACAGCAGGGCTACTGGCCTCATCAGATGAATCTCCAGATTCATAATCCTGAGTTAAAAAATAGCATGTTTTAAAAAAAAAAATCAATCAAATAAGCAACATAAAACGAAATGTCTAGAAGGTCAGTTACACACATTAGGATCATCCTCTTCTTCTTCTTCAGCAAGTAGTTTTGAGAGCTCATCCTTATCATCTTTAAGAGTACAGTGTGCTGCCACCAATTCATCATCATGGGTTATGTTCACCACAGGAATAGGTAAGAAAGGGTTTTTAATGTGGTCATTCTTTACTGATACTTTAAAAACCATAGCTTTGCCTCTGAGAGCATCAAATTCTGTTGGAATCTTTGTAGGATCCTGCAAATTACAATGAAAGTTTAATTTTTCATAATAGTAGGTTGTATTAACTATTAAAGCATATATATAAAAAAAAAGGTTGAAAAAAAAATCAAACCTCCAAGTATTTGTTTCTGAGATCATAAGCACTCAATCCTAATAACTCAGAACATTCATTATCCCATAGCAGAAAAGGTGCATCCCCAGACTTGTCACCAACTCTAACACCCAACCTGTACCTAGGAATTCCCAGTTGCCAACTAATTTTGCAGGTGTCACACCAAAGTAATGCCTTTTTCTGCTCAAGTTTTCTAAAACATCCTTCTTTCTTGCAAGAAGAGTAGTACCATTTTCTGGCACTCTCCAATCCATTGATTCTTGCAGGAACATGGTAATAGCCTGGCTGTTGTATTTTAGTCAAATAGAACAGAGAGTTAAATGTTCCAAATAGTAATCTAAAAAAATTATTTTGATAAAACTAAGAGACTGTAATGAATATTACCTCAGCCCTCCTATAGATGTCAGCTATGGTGCTTACAATCATAGGTCTCTTGCTAGAATATTCCTGACTGTTAGGGTATGAAAATGTTGAAACATTTGTCATACTCCTAATAGGAGTCTGCTGATCATTCAAACTGGATAAAGTGTCAATGGTTAGATAGTGATACAAAATAAAATAGACCTTGATGGAAAAGTAAAATTTACCTATCCTTGAATACTTCAAACTCGGGACAATCATGATTTATCCAAACCTTGGTTGCATTATATGAACTTGATATTCTTACTTTAGCTGAAATAAAGAATTAATTTGTTAGATGTTTATTTTCATATAGGAAATGTGTATAAAATAATTGTGATAAGGAGATGAAACTTACTGTCTAAGTGCTTTGCTCTACACAGTTGCATCAGAATAATTATAGGGCCATCAACATTGTCAGTAAAATAGGGCAGTACATCATCCACATGTGAATCCCATACTGTGCATTTAATCCTATTGTTCCTAAAATATTGTAAAATATACTGTTAAATAAATGTTGATTGTTTTTAATGTATTGAATCTAGAATTTAAGATTTCTGAACTTACTTGGAGTCTTCAATAATAAAATCAACCAGCTTTGATGGATAACCTCCTATAGTAATTGACTTTAGAGGGTAAAACTCAACAACCCTGCCAATGACATCTAGAAGAAAATATTGGACAACAAACATTGAGTTTAGAGTATAAAAAAAAAAAAAGTATAGCAAAGAAAAATTATTGTATACTAACCGAATAATAATTTCTCAGGAATTTTTCTGCCTAGGATATCATCAAAACTGCGAAGCCTGAACATACACTTAGCAAAGCCTTTCCTACGGTGTCTTAGAACAGTAGTTTGATGGTTCAACTTAATCATGTAATTGTCCGGAGTGAGCTTGTACTGATAATAATTAGAAATTACCAAAAAGTTTTTGATACAATAAACTTTTCCCACTGTGAAATGATTTGAGAATTTATCCAAGTATTCCTTTGGGATGTTGCAATGGAGATAGGTTCCCTAGACAGAATAGTTGAAACAAAAAAAAAAAAAAAAATTGATGTAAAACAATTTAGTAAAAACTGTAAATAACAATATAGAAGGATTATAACATTAAAAAGCTTACCTCTGAATCGTGAAACAACAGCTCTTGACTTTTAATAATACTTGTATTTCTCCCTTCATGGACATCATAAATTCTTACTAATCTAAGCCTAATGGCTTTCGTGTAGCATTCTGTGTTGAGATCTTTGGCCAATACAAACAGAGATCCCATTTTAACCAAGAACAGGAGATTTTGATTGAAGAAGGAGAATGTGAGAGTGGTGTTTGCTATTCTATAGTATTTATAGAAGGATGATTCTGTCATTGGGTATCTCGAAGGATGAAACATTAATGAAGATTAATAATGATGTTTCACCGAAGACTGAAACGTCTTCTGAGTAGTCGGCTAATAGATTTCAAATGTTATTATTTATATTTATATTAAGAACTTAAAAAGATGTAATAATTGTTTTGATAACTGTTTCTATGCTTCTATTAACACCTGCTGATAAAAAGTTCTGATTTGGATCAACTTCCGATGAGGGAATTGTAGATATTTAAGTATTCTACCTTATGTAGAATACTAACAATTGATATATATTGTTATACGCAAAGTTTTATCGGAGAAAACAAAAACCAAAATAGCATGCAAAAAGAGAAAACAGAAAAAAAAACGTAAAATGGATCAAACTAATAGTCAAAACGCTGTAGTTTTATATGGGCGGGAAAATACAGCCATTTGATTGGCCATGGCTATATGGCTTTAATATATAGAAGGATTATTATTATTATTATTATTATTATTATTATTATTATTATTATTATTATTTAAGAAGATAAGAAAATATATGGTGGATGCATGTGCATAGTAACAATAGTAGAAAAGATAACGGAAGTTATAACGGTAGGGGTATGTTTGTCCAAAATATTGTAAAGTACAACCTTTATAGCATAATGTATAAAAAAAAAACTTAATGGAAAAAATGGACATAAATGAAGGGTATAACCTTCATTCACACTTATTATGTTTTTAGATTTTAATATTTTTTTAATGATTTTTTTTTATTTACCCTTTATTATATTATTTTCTCTCTTAAATAACCCTAAATTTCGTTAGTATTAACTTTAGTAACGGAATATTCCGTTAACTATTTATTATTTTTAACTTACTCATTAGTTTCTATAAGAAAGGTCTTAGGTTCGAACCTCATCCCAATTAAAGTTGACATAATTGTTAAACATATACTAAAGGGAAAATCAACGATTTGGTCCCTCAATTGTTAGCGAAATATGAATGTAGTCCCTTAATCGCGAAATCATCGATTTAGTCCCTGGAAATAACTGTTTTTAGTTGATTTGGCCCCTCCGACCGTTCCCCGTTGAAAATCCGGCGAAGGCTCCGATTAGGCATGGGTAATTTAGTCTTTTCACACCATCTTCTTCATCTTCCTTGACTAAGCTTCACCGGAAAACGTTCGTCGGCCAGAAAATGGAGCCAAGTCCATCTATCACGCTCGGCGGGCAATACCTTGTGTTCACTTCCGTTGCGGAGCTGGAATCTGCCGCCATTATTGAAGCTCTCAGACCTAAACTCAAAACCCCTATCTATTCCATCGACACTGCAATACCTAATTACTTCCCTATCCAAGGCGATGGCGATGAAATTAGCTGCCCAGATTACCTCACCTAGCTTGATGCTCAACCCGCGAATTCTGTGTTGTATATTTCTCAGGGAAGCTTTCTCTCACTTTCGGCTGGGTAGTTGGAAGAGATCGTCGCCGGCGTCTGTGAAAGCGGAGTTCGTTTCTTCTGGGTGGCGCGTGAAAACACAGAGCGGCTGAGGGAGAGAGGCGGTGAAGCTTAGTCAAGGAGGATGAAGAAGACCAAGAACTCAGAGATGTTATCAGCACAGCTTTTGTCTTGTTCTTTTTGCCTATAATGTTGGATTTGGGATCATTATCGTCTGTGTTGATTAATGGGAGTATGTTCTCCGACATTGTACAACTTATGATTTGATCCGAAACATGTTTGAACGGATCGGGTTCCTGGTCGAACACTCTCACCTGAATTCCTATCTTCTCATCGGCTCCGGCCAGGTATGCTTGATGGTATCTGGTAATCAGTTTCTAGACCGGATTTGTGGGATGAAATAGGTACCGTACCAGGAAATGGAACACGAATTCTATGTCGGGAAACATGTCCCCGACATCTTTCTTGAAGGATTGCTTCAGGAAAAGATATGGGATGAAATACTGGTCGGATTTCATACTCAGCCATGGAATTTTCTGCAGAAACTTTTGATCTTCATCTTTGAAGAACAGTGAATCGTAATGATCCATGTCGTATTTCAGATTGAGAAAGATAAATGGACTTGGCTCCATTTTCCGGCCGATGAACGTTTTCCGATGAAGCTTAGTCAAGGAGGATGAAGAAGATGGTGTGAAAAGACTAAATTACCCATGCCTAATCGGAGCCTTCGCCGGATTTTCAACGGGGAACGGTCGGAGGGGCCAAATCAACTAAAAACAGTTATTTCCAGGGACTAAATCGATGATTTCGCGATTAAAGGACTACATTGATATTTCGCTAACAATTGAGGGACCAAATCGTTGATTTTCCCTATACTAAAAATATGTTAAAATATATTTAAAAAATATAGTATAAAATTTAACATAAAGTTTAGTCAAATAATTAGGCCGGCTAAATACATAGCATTCAAAGTTGAGCATCAAAGATATAAATCAGGAACTTTGAAAATCATTTGGTTTTCTTACATTAAAAAAAAGTTAGGTTAAGTTTCTTTTTCCATTTAATTAATCTTCTTTTGATTATTTAGAACATAACTTATATTTCAATTATGCTTTTGCATTATTTGAATGATTTAGGTCATTATGGTATTAATATTTTTTTGTATATATTTTTATAATGGTACAATTATACATTACTTTACAAATATTATATTATTATTATTTTATCGGACAAAATTGTTCTTACATCATTGTCAGATATGTGCGACCTAACTACAATGTTGTTAATCATAAATACAATAATTGACAATGTTGGCATCCCACTGGCTCCAATTAAACATGTTTACAAATCATAGTTTTATTAATGTCTGAAAACTTCTAAAGAAATTTGTAAGTTAATTTTTACTATAACATTACAATATATTTATAACCATATATTTTGAATTATTTATTATAATACTCTATTGACAGAAATTGTAGCAATTGTCATTGACAAACTCTCAAAACAATTTGTCTTAACAACAAATAGAAATTAAAAAAATTAATGATTTCATCATTGTGGATAAAAAGTATGTACGCCATTTTATTACTCTTATTAATTAATATAAATAAATTAGTAGTTACAACAAAAATTAATACACATGCATTTTATTAATTTAGAAATAGATGTCTATAAAGCATTTATAAAACGGTAGAGCCATTTTCTAAATAATTGACAATGTTGACATCCCACTGGCTTCAATTGAACAAGTTTACACATCATAGTTTTATCAATGCGTGAAAACTTCTAAAGAAATTTGTAAGTTAATTTTTACTATATCATTACAACATCTATTGTAACCATATATTTTGAATTATTTATTATAATCCTCTATTGATAGTAATTGTAGCAATTGTCATTGACAAACTCTCAAAACAATTTGTCTCAACAACAAATAGAAATTAAAAAAATTAATGATTTCATCATTGTGTGGATGAAAAGTATGTACGCCACTTTATTACTCTTATTAAATTAAATAAATTAGTAGCTACAACAAAAAATAATACATATGCATTTTATTAATTATTTAATTTAGAATTAGATGGCTATAAAGCATTTATTTTTTAAAAAAAAATTATTCATCATAAAAAATTTAAAAAGAGATATAATTTCATTATTTATATTATCTTTATTTTCTACCATTCAAAGATTCTTTACCTTCGAATTTATTAATTTATTATATTCACTACATTGTCCATTACCTTCTTTTTACATTATTATTTTGTAATTTTTTATTTTTTTTTTTTGAAGAGACATTATCTTGTACAACTAAGATTTCAATCATATACACAGCAAGACAAAACTAAAGCTTCCTACACCATAATCTCATTGCAGGATGAATCTCTCTATGCTACAACCAGTAACCCAATTGCATATGATACACTAGTAATAAAAAGAAAAAAAGGACATGTATTGAAGATGAAGAGTTGAAGACAATGACAATGCTACCAAAAAGAGAATTAAGAAAAATTAGAGAAATTTAAATCGGAGGCAGTATTTATTTAGACTATCGCTTTTAGACTAAATATTTAGACTCGTGTTATTACAAAGTTGCAAACATTTATTTTAGTGACATTTATAATCAATCTCTCATATATTATTTTGCATTTATATACTTTAAATTACCGATTTAAATAAACAAATTCAATATTTATTTACCTATGTACGAACATCTCCTATATAATATTGTATTGATATATTTTGAAGTACTTATTTAAAAATAACCGCGCATTATCCCATTCGCGCAAAGCGTGTAAAAAAACTAGTAACAAGGATAAGGGTCAAATAAGCTCTCTAACTATATTGATTTGTGTAATTAGACCCTTCAACCAGATAAATTGCAATTAGACTTTTTTTAGGTTACCTTCAGGTAACCAGTAAATTACTTGATGATTAGATTTTTCAAGCTGATGTGGCTTCAACATATTTATTTAAAATGATATATTGTATTAAATTTTATTTTTAATTAGTGATAATAATAATAATAAAATTAAAAAAAAAATATTTCTCAAATTTGGTTGTTCGTTTGTCGTTCACCATCGGCACCTCACAGTCACTGCCTACTGCCCGAAGTGGTGAACAGTCACCGCCGTTGACATGCTTGCCGCCGTTGCTACTTACCTACCGCAGCCGTTGTCTACTACCGCCACCTTCTTCCAAATATGAAAGAAGGTTGCGGTAGCCTTCTGCCAGACATGGAAGAAGGTCGTGATGTCCTTCTTCCAAATTTAGAAGGTGGCGTGACCTTCCAGGTTTGGAAGAAGGCAACGGTGTCTTCTTCTCGATTTTTTTTTTTTTAAAAATAAATAAAAAGTGACGGTGACCGCGATTGGCAGACAGTTAGTAGTAACGGTAAGCATGAGCAGTAAGCAGTGACGGTGAGGGGCCAATGGTGACGACAAAGGAACGACCAAATTGAGAAAATATTTGTTTTCTTTTTAATTTTATTATTGTTATTATTATTATTAATTAAAAATAAAATTTAATACAATATGTCATTTTAAATAAATATGTTGAAGTCACATCAGTAGAAAAAATCTAATCAAGTAATTTACTGGTTAGCAAAATAGTTTAGTTGCACTTTATTTGTAAGTTTGAGATTCTATTTAAACTTTTTTGAAGTTGAAGGGTCTAATTGTAGAAATCAATATAGTTAGAGGGCTTATTTGACCCTTATCCCAAATATAACAATGAAGGGTTTTGAGAGCTTAGACCTAGATGACCTTTGGATTATTTATATATCTGGTAGTCCTGACATAAAATATTAGATAATACTTTGTAATAACAATGAAAGGTTCCAAACTTCCAAAAGCTTTGACCAATAACAATGAAGGGTTTGGAGAGCTTAGACTTGGATGACATTTGAATTGTTTATATCTTTGGTAGTCTTGGCATAAAATATTAGATAATGATCTGTAATAACAATGAAGGGTTCCAAACTTTCAGAAGCTTGGAGCTGAATGATCTAATAATTAACAGTGAAGGGTTTTGAGAGCTCAGAGTTGTATGAACTTAGGATTGCAGAACAACCCTGACATGGAGCAAGAAAATTGAGATAACAAATGTTCTGAAAACATAGAAACACAATAGCACAAGAAACCTTAGCCATTAATGGTTGTGTGACAATTCATAGAAACTAATAATGTGCAGACTTACTGAATACACACATACATGATACATGGCTGGAATAAAAGAGTGGAGCTATGACCAACCAAATACATAATTGAGCACATAAACAAGCGTGATGGAAAAGGGGTATAGCAAAAATGCTATGAAGGCAGTCCAGAGCGGGAATGTAGAGCGGATGCTCCCAAAGACGGCCATCACAATGCAGACTATAAGAATGACCAGCGCTTCTGATGAGAAGTCCCACGTTAATCCTCTGGCATAAATGAGAGCAAGGAACACCGGCAGGCAAAGGACATTGTTCGTAGTCACTTGTCTATATAACTACAACGAAAGAAACAAGATTTTAAATCATACGAGTGGCCGGCTGAGGGGGTTGACAAGTCATTAACTACATAGTCATATATAACAGAAGAGACGTAAGGAAGCACAGACCTCAGAGAACGTCAACGATGCAGAGTCTAGCTTTTTCCTGCTAGCAATGATGGTTGCCCACAGAGCCTTACTTGAGTTAGTTGCCAATGGCAGCGCAATGAATGAAATGAAGAAAGTTGGGATATTTGTGGCACAAGAGAAACTTTTTATGGCATCTACGAGGGGATTGGCAAAAGCAGCAGCAATGGCAGCCCCTAGAAACGAGAATAATGCAGCCTTAATCTTCTTGGTTCCCTCATCATCATTTTGATTCCAAGTGCCTCCTAGTAAATGATGGTCTCTTCTTGTTTGCTGCAAAATGCAATCTTCATTATATTATGACAAAACCAACTAGCTAGTGAAAGTGATTAGGACAAGACAAACCTGATGGACATCAGTAAGATGCTTAAGTGTTCCAGGGACACTACTTCTGGAACATTGAACCTCATCAAGCCATTTATCAACTCCAGCAACAAACTCTTCAAACTCAATTTCCTGATTATTAGATGTATCAAAATCCTTCATCAGCTTCTCTGTAGCCTCATTTTCGTCTAGGTTAGTTTCATTGACACAGACTCCCACGAGGTAGGCTTTTAATTCAGAATGTGAGAGTTTTCCATCCCCATTAGAATCAATTGCATTAAAAACCCTGGCATCAAGTCAATAACATCACTCCAGAAAGTTTGTGGTGGGAAATGCAGAGAATGCATTATAAACTTACTTTCTCAATACTACAAAATTAGGGCCCCCCTGATCCGTGAAAAGCCTCCCTAATGCATGCATTCTCAAATGCCTCAGAAATCCAGATATAAAACATTTCCGCTTTGAATAATCAATTCTTCTTTCTTGTATCGAAGGCTGAAAGACCTGAAATATCAAGTTAAGGAGAAGGCCAAAGGAATAGTTTGGTACCAAAGTGGAGGGAAAACAGAATACAGATTCTAGCTTGAAGAAGTAATAACACTGAGTCATAGGGAAATTTGATTTGATTTTTAAAAAAAATTGATAGAAT